TGAATGGTTTTCAGTTCTCAATCATCCTCCTAAGCGTTTGACGCTGCGCTGAGAAAAGCAGAGTGCTGAAGTGCCAAATGCTTGGCGATAAACCTTTGCATGTGTCAGGTTTGCTTCCTGCTCAAACAACTGTCTCAGGTTTGCCTGAACGTTAACGGTTTACCCGCGATTCAAAACACAAACGACAAATAACAGCCATTCCTATTCTTGCATGGCTCATTATGCGTGAAACTTTAATTGAATAACAGATGAATAGCGTGTCTAGGGTTGATCAGCTCGTTGTCAACATACAGTTATATCATTGACAACTTTAACTGCGTTCTATAACATACAGCTTTCAGTAGAATTGACAAACGGTTGAGAAATGTCTGAAACGATGTTCTTTATTGAAAGCCATATGCATATTTATTGTCGAGCATCTATCGTCCGTTTTCATCCATTTTGATCCAGGGAACGTTTTCTACTTCCTATGCCATTCATCTGAAGGTGTTCCTACGGGCCGTTTATTTTCTCGTTGAGCTCATTTTAAAGTCTCTCTGATCCATTGACGGCCGGTTCTTCATGCAAAGTTTCCTTCTCATTGCCACTTTAACTTCTTCACGCGGGCAATGACATCAAAGACTATTGTTTGTGTTCTTACAAATTTACCCATTCATTTCATGTGCCTATATATTTTTGTCATTCCCAACATACATCTTTCCAAGCTGAGTTGTGTGTTTGCAGTTTACCTTGCCCGCTGTCTAGACATTCCTGCCCATTACCTGTGTTTAACTCCAATTAGACACAAATTCAACAATTATTTTATTTTCATTTAAAAAATGCATCCAGCAGATTAAATGCCAAGGCGCTGGTGAGGGGGAGGGGAGTACGGCCTCTTACTGATCAGTAATTTCGAAAAGTGTTCAAGCAAAAATAAATTTTTTGAATTTTTTCCTAACGTGGCCAAATTGAAATAGTGTACGCGCTCGCAGTCACTCAACGTTTAGCGACCATTGAAGCAGTTATTCAGATCATGCTCGCATTCACCAATATTTCTCATTATTTTCTTAACTAACCATGAAAATTATTTAAAATTTTAATCAAATAAAAGGTTGCTTTGGTCGAAGTTTGCGCTGATGCCATTAAGAAGCAATAAGTTTCAGAAAAGTGGAAGGAAGCTTTGCAGCAAATGTCAGTTGTTCTGATCTGTATATTTGATTTCGGGTAGCTGCTAGTCACTTGTAGTGCACAATTCATGATTAGCACCTGCGCACGTTCATTATTGAACATCTGAACAATGGATGATGTAGCGAACCCGTTCTTGACTCCTTTCCTCAATTTATTATTGCGGCATAATAAATTAATTGCGAAGTAATATTTTTTGTTGAAAGGTATCATGTTTTTGTAGATTCTATTGATCATTTCGAAATATGACACGGACGATATCCATACTCCTTTCGTCAAGCAAGACTGAGCAAATTTATTTTTTGAGATAAATAATATTCCATCTGGGTAGTTTAAAACGGATTAGTACACTTCTATGACCTTCCATGTAACGTTTGGCCGATTGTCAAGAGCCATGCTATAAGCGCACGCGGTTGGCGTGTAGCAAAATGAAAACATCTCTCTCGAGTAATTGCAAATATCAAGAGATGTCTCTTGCAGTGAAATTTTATTGCTGGGCACTGACAAATGTGTACATGCATAGCTGTTGTAGTATCACCATCAAAGTCGGCAAAGTTTTCACAGCAGAACTGACAAGATTTGTGGTCTTTGAGAGCTTGAAATGGTGTCTCAGATTCTTAATAGGCGGCGTTTGCTGCCACCATGAAACTTGCCTTTGCAAATGGAGTTGCATCCACTTGTTTCCACGTTTTGTATTGTCTTCTAATGAATATGAGCATGCGTCAGCGGCTGATTCCCACAAGAGAAACGCATTGAACCGATTTTCATTCTCTGTTCGTGTCATCCGGTGAAATCAAGCCAGGCATCAATCTGTGGGTTTTTTGGCAGTTTTTTTTTCACACAACTGTTCGTTAACACCTACTTGTTCGTGACTCGGCTGTGCAATTACATTTTTAGGATACTTCGTAGAAGCCTTGTTGGAAGCTGCCGAAGTGAGCGTCACAGCGCTTCAGCGAGGCAGATATTTCCGGAATGCCAATGAGCATCTCATATACCTCTGTTTTTAAAATGGTGATCCTCGCCGCTACCTTTATAGTGAGGTTTTTCATATCTTCTGCGGTATCTCGAAACTTGCTAATCAAAATTCAGTTCAGGCGGCGGCTTAAATCAGTATCATTAGCTACGACTGATCCACGATACCGTAAATGGTCATCCGCAAAATCAAGTTTCGCTCAGAATGCAGCAGGGTATCCTTATTTACGTCGCTCACTGATGGTGGATCACTAGTTGTTCTTAAGGGCGGTCATCTTTCTCATCGTGTGGTTTGTCACAGTATTGAAGAGCAGTGGACAATTCGCGTTTCCAGAGCGAACTCTGCATTTGAGGTTCAGTCAATGATCCTTTGATTCTGACGATACATTTACTCTCTTCTTGCAGACCTTCTCTCAGATTTACTATTGCCATCAAATTCCGTAGCAGTTAATCACCTGTCGCAAAGTCATGTGATGAACTGAATCGAAGGTTTTTCACAAATGCTGAAAATCCAATTTGCCTGAAACCTGATCTGTATATACACTATGAACAATTTCAAAAAAAAACTTCTGCGCATTTCCTAATTGCATTGAATTTTCTCTGTGCTGATAGCGACGCGAGTTGCATAAGTGAATAAACTTTGACTGATTAAAAAGTTACAATTCAAACCAGTTGGAAGCTCCTGCTAAGTTTGATAATTATAATCCATTTCAGCGCAAAGCACCTTGGGCTTGAACGACTGCTCCTTGCGTGTATAACGTCACTCCTCAACATGCATCAGGAATTATTCGAAATGTTTGAAAACTTTAAATAATTACCAACCAATTGTAATAAAGTCCCTGCCGCTCTCAAGCCAGGATGAGAAAAGAGGAAGGTAGGAGACCGTGCCAAGTCTCCGTAAAATTTAGCCGCATGCCATTCGTGGTATTGACGCCATCGAAACTTAAATCGGCTGAGTCGTCGCCCGTGTTACCAATGGCCGCGTAGGCTGTTGGGAGACTGAGGCAGACTGCTAAATGTCGGCGATCAGAACCTGCTCATTGCTTTCTGCCAGCTGAGGGCGTAGCAGCACAACGACGGCTAACGAAGACCGACGCAACGACGACGAAGATACCAGTCAGCAACGGAGT